GCGAACCCACGACGAACCTCCCAGTCTTTAGGGTCTGGTCACCACTACGATGAGCGGCAACGGAGACCACTCGCCCACTGACTTACCCTCCTAAACTCCCCGTAGCCTGTAAGTAGTTCGGCTGCTCGTCCACTATTGGTCCAGATTCGACCAATCCTGTCGCGACACGAGTCGGCGATGACGTTTTACCGCATTTTACGAGTCTCTATTAGTGTCTTTATACAAATACGGTCGAAATTTTTTCGCCGCGATATACGAATTCGCATTATATGAACCCGTGTTATAGGGGGTCGACTGTACTTTATTACAACGTTTATTTATATGTAATAATAAAAACACAAACATACACAGTCTTGTATTTTTATTAGTCATGTTTTTTCCGTTTGAAAGGGTTAAAGAATCTGTCTAATGTCGATTGCTTTTCTCTTTTCTTCAGGGTTTTTCGAAATAATTAATAGCATTGCAATTGTAGAAATCCCCAAACTTCAACCTGGTTTGGATGCCATTCTACGACCGTTGTTCTGACATCTTCACACTTCTTCAAAGGATCTTTAATAACAGATATCGGCATTAATCCTATTTTTCAGAAGAAAACATCTCGCCGATTTTCTTGGTGTTCTTCATTCAAGAGTTCTTGGCGTTCTTCTGTCGTCAGATTCGTTTCACTTTCCATTATGAACTCTTCGATGTTCTTTATTTCTCAGATGTGATTTTTGTTACTCCTTTAGTTGCTTGAGTCTTCTTGATTATACAGTAATACCTCGACTTACGCTATCCCGACTTACGCGAACACGGAGTTACGCGATTTTCAAATCTCCTGGATTCGTCTTTTGTTTGAGCGCCACGCAACTCTTCACTACTCACTCCCCCGCACTATTGTTCAGCTTACATGTTCGGACGTGTAGCCCGGAATCGACATATAGCTACAATTTATTCTTTGTTATTTATTTCTGTGTTTGTTATATCTACGGAGACTCGAGAGACTCTACTATGTCATCCAAACGAAGTAGAACTGATTCTTCTGCATCAAACAAAAAAAGAAAAACTTTATCTTTGGAATGTAAAGTTAACATTATTAACTTTGATATAAAAATGAAACTTTGTGAATTGGCAAAGTTTGATCTACCGGAATCGACGGTCTGAACAATTATAAAAGGTAAAGAAAAAATTCTCGAAGCTGTGAAAAATGCTCAATCTTTAAATTCAATCATCATTCGTAAACGTCACGGTATTATCGCTGAGATGAAAACAATGTTAAAATTATGGTGCGATAATTAAGTAAATGTGAAAAATTGTATAATAATATAATTTGTTATACATATGTATTATCTAAGATTTTATTAGACATTTTTTTCTAAATTATTGTTTTATTCAGTCTCTGGCCCCAATTAAAAATTATTCGTATGTATTTATATGCGAAATTACACCCCGACTTACGCGAATTCGACTTACGCGGTTATCGCGGAGCGGGGCCAAATTCCAAAAAGCTGGCCAAAAGTCAAAAGTGTTATCAATTTGGCTGAAAGTCAGTATTCGAAGGTTTTCGGGATCGCTGATTACGAATCCGAAGTCAAAATTTGAAATAAAAACAAAATGACGGATTTAACACGAACCACTTTTATAGAAAAAGTACAAAATAAATCCATATATTGTTTAATACGATAAAACATACAATCAGTTGATTAAAAGTTCATGCATCGTCATCCAAAGAATAATTTGATTCACAATCAGATGATTCAACTTTGAAATCGCTGGAGCTTCCTGTACTTGCTGGTATACGTGGCGCAACTAACAATAAAACTGCTTCTGGAAGCAATGACTTTGAGTTTTTTCGAGGTAATTCGCACAAACTCGAAATAAACGGATCGGATATTAATAATAGGCGTAAAATAATGTCTTCCACTGTTTTCACTCGGGAACTTTTCTTGCAAAATCTTCTCGAAACTTTTTAATGTATTTATTAGTAGACTCTTGAGCGTCTTCAGACATCTGCCCTATCGGCAATACCGATGAATTTATCACTTCTGCACCATGAATCAATATCTTATGTGCCGAAGTTGGCATGCAGAACCACGGATATAACTGCACAAAGTAACGAGCTGTCTGTAAGGCATAATCTTGAAATTCTATGAAATCGATTTCATGGCCACACGAAATTGTCTGCAATATGACATGGAAACGCTTAATCAAGTCCTCATCAACCCCTGTAATAGCAGCAGAAATGCTTGAGTTTTCGAAAAATTGTCGAGCGGTATTCTCATCATTCGAGCTACCGAAACCAGGCTTTGGTTGATCGACTATTAGACCCAATTCTATACGGAAACCCTTCTGTATATTCGTTTTTCAGAATCTTATTTCTTTATTTTCTTTATCACTATGCGCTTGCCACAGTTTGATTTCAAGCTTATATGCTACATGCAAACAATATTCAAAACACCAGACAAATTCAAGAAAAAGAGCAAAACATTCCGCGTCATTAATGTACAAAATTCAGAAAACTATGTTTTACATTGCAAGAACTCGCACCAATGACACAGTTGCAGCTAGTTGCAGCTAGTTTTAATTTTTTTCATTCAATAATAGTTCCATCTACAACATGCGATCGGTCCAGTCGCAGAACTCTACAGAATTTATGAACTTTTCTCTACATGTTTAAAATTTTCTGTTGTAATCTTCCGTTCATTTTCGTACAAATCATTCGTTTACTGTTATCATATAAAATATTATTATCAATTTTGTGTTACATAATGATATTCTACTTACTTGCAGCTGCAGATTCCATTTTTTAAATTTAAATTCCATTGACTTTTAGAGATTTGGCACCCTCTTGAATATAGCGTAGAAATCTTTGCTTACTGCATGACGCCTCTAGCTCGATTGAGGATCCTCTTTCAACTGAACTACAATAGCAGGTATAAAGGATAGGGGATGCTAAAGTATAGAATTCGACCTTTGGACTCTTATCCAACCTAACCCACGACTAGAAATTACCGGTACTTAAACTCTATTTTTCTACTTTTGGCCAGCTTTTTAGGATTTGGTCCCACTGTGCGTCGGTCCCACCTATCGCGTAAGATCGGGGTATTACTGTACAGTATTTTTCTTAAATAAGATTGAACTGCGGTTTACTGTAGACCTGTTCACGTCATACTGCCCAGTAACATTAGGCATCTTCTGCCCACTCTCTACCTTTGCTATTATACTCTCACCTTTCGAAAAGAAAAACAGACGCAAAACTTAATGAGTGCCTACCCGACAGTCTCGCGAATACATAAAAGAATTATTTTTCTCAGAAAAATAAAAGGCTTGAATTACAAGGGAGAATTTCAAAGTTCGGAGGAATACTATCCGATCGGTATATACCGGCTTGAGCGTCGATGTCAACGTCTCCCACACCGAAAAGTTTCGAATTGTTGCCCGAAGACAAGGGAAGACCAATCAGTATTCATTATTTTACGTCGCTTCTTGTTGTGTTTGTTCTGTGCGGTGTTCGTTATCCGATCATGTGTTCGTTGTCCGAACATAAAAATCTTTCGCGAAAGTGTTCGTTAACCGATCACCCACTGTATTTAATTTTCCACATCTAACAACGGGTTTTTTTCAATTTTGAACGATACTTTCTTAATTCTAATAAGCGTCCTTCATTAACCCAGTGGACAAAACCACCGAACACTGGTAGTTAGTCGTTGGTTTAAACATGACCAACGTGAAGTTTTCCGAGTTTTCTAACTTCCAAAAAGGGCCCAGCTTCCCATAAGTTTTTTCGGGTAAATAAACTAAAGTAATTCTAACGATCAGTTTCAACATTTCATTCCAAAATTTACGGTGACATCGTCACAATGTCGGGCTGCAATTTTTCGTCACAATGTTATAAATTCTTTTAGTGATGGCTTGCCCTTGTACAGTACATCATACGTTTCTTGTCAGAAATAATCATGTCAGTCATCTATCTAACTCCGTTCAGGTAAAAATTTTGAATTGGAGTAACGTGACTTCCGTTCTAAACCGGAAGTTCCTATATCGTTAATCTCCTGTCTCTAAGCTTTCCACATCTGGTTTCGACTTTCATCTAATTCTTTCTCGAGATTAAGGACGGACAGACGACAGTGGGAATTTATAGGTCTACAATTTTTTCGAATTTCAGCCCACTAATTTTTCTATAAACGCGATATTTACGAGAATGTATTTCTCATGTAGTTTGTACAATCTTTTACACATATCTATCACATAAAAGCAATTATTCTCGCATTTTGATAATTTTTTTTACTTAAATAAGTCATATAAAGATTTTAGGACGTTAAGGTTAACAACTTCGATCACGTTCATCACAACCATCCAACACGGATCACTTTTCAAATATTAATTGTAGATGATTATTCAAACATTATATTAATAGCCGCGTAAATTAAAACTTCTGCCGCGTATATAAAGGGGTTAATTCAATTAATTTTGCGCGTTAATCAAATCCCACGTTAAGCAAGGGGTACCTGTATATAAACTTTGACGATATTATTGACAATTTTTCTAACAGAAAAGTTAGTAAAATATCAATTTAAGACGGGAATTGTTTTAATCAAACTCTTCAATTTTTTTTCTATGTAATAATTTTAAATTATTTATTGTATTTTTTCCTTTGTTTCCTTTGTAATGCTCACAGAGCTTTTTGCTCTGTGAAGCATTAAGAAAGCTTCTTATCTATGCCCAATTATTAGTTCTCTTAGGTCAGAGTTTTTCATCCTGGGTAGACATGCCGACGGGAGATGCTCGGAGCACTTTTAGGAAGTTGTTCAGTGATTTTATTCACTCGACCACAGTGTTTAGTGGTTTTGTCTATTAAGAATATTGAAGATGAAAATTATTTTGAAAGTAATAATAAATAGTGTGAAAGTGAAAAAATAATAATATGAAAACTGTTTTCTTAAAAGATTTTTAATTAAAATAATCTAGGAATATTTATTTATATATGTCAGTGAAAAAATTATAATAAATGAATAAGTAAATTATTATTTTATCATTTAATTTATTAAAGTTAAAATCAAGTAACTCAAATTCGTTTCGAGGCATTGTTTAACTTTTTAATTTCTAGATGATTTATTCGAAATGAATAAAGGCCTGATTGTTTTATAATATCTCACCATACCAGAATAGTAACTTTCTTCATCAAGAAGAGAGTATTCACATTCAAGTATGGTGCGATCACTATATTCAACTTTCTTTGTTCTGTGTATCTTTCTCCATGGATTATCTTCGATGGTGGCTAATCTGTGAGTAGAAGAAAATTCTTTTTCTGACAAGACATAAACAAACCTGTGAGGATAATTAGTGATAATTCCATCCACACCAACCCTGTAAAATAAAATGAGTTAACAAAACTTGCAATAACTGAATCTATTTACAATGAAGCTTTACCTGAGTGAATATCTCATGGTACTCCATTTATCCAACGTCCAATAATATACTTTATTCAGCGAATCCCATTCGATATGAGAATCTCTCTTCTTCAGAACTTCCAAAAGACGTTTTGATGAACGAGGTAGACAATTAGTTATTCCATCACCTTGCCATATTGATCCAGTGATATTTAACTTCTCATACGTTTTACGAATAACTTCGAGACCTTCGTTACCCGAAATATCCCATCCTGTAAAACATATTCAAGTATAAATACCTAAAAGTATCCAGCTACTCAAATATTTTCTGTGTACTCATTACCTATTTTATAATCCATATGATTGTATCCCATTTTCTTCAGAGTGTCCTTAAATCCGACTACGAAATCAATATCGGTTGTATAAGGAAATGATAGTAAAATCCAAAGTTTAGAATTACCTGTAAAAATACAAGAATAATAGTTATTAATCCATTTACTTTATATATTATTTATAAATTTTTAAAAGTAAAATACCTGATCCTGACCACAAATAACGTATAATTTTCTCAGCTACATCACTTCCCGCTTTATATTTTAATTTATCATTCATCCCGGATATTTTATTATCAATCATCAATAAGACGAAGTTCTTTCTAAATTTTGGGCTCGCTAAAATAATTTAAAAAAATTAGCAATTCAATATTATGCTTATACTTATTATACATATTTACTTTAATTACGTAATTAATTCAATAAATATATTTTTCCTTTCTCTGAATATTTTATACTATATTTTATCACTTGACGAAAATGTTTTCAATTTATATTTGTTTTCATGATCCTAGGTATGGTAACCTCGCTACCCCATTGTGGGTTTGATTAGCTTGAAAAATGCCTTCTTAATATTTAGTTTATTGATTGAGTTTCATATTAGTTAATAGAATAATTGATAAGATTATTATTTCTTATTGAAAAGATTCTAAACGATGAATTATCGTAATTTAGGAAATTGAATGCAGTAAATTCGCGATTATCCGGCTAAATGTGGCTGAGGCCAAGCCAGGTAACAGGGATATTGAAGATAAGGTATTTCCTTTGAAGTCAATGCATCCTACATGTTATTTATTTTTCAGTTGTAATTTTTACGGTATATATGATAATGTTTCAATACAAAATTTTCAGCAAAAGTAAGCCGGTAAGACGTCTGCAATTATCATAACGCATTATCCGCGGAAAATCGTATGTTTTAGGAAAATGTATGTAATCGCATTTTTACATGATATTATTATTTAATAATAATAAATAAAAAGTTCAAAATAATTATAAAAATATAATTATTTTGTACTTTTTATTACAATAGTAAAGTATTATTATGTTCATATGAAAAAAACTTTATGATCTATCTAATCGGGCTTGAAATAAGGAGAACTGGATAATCGCGAGTCTACAGTACAAAATTTTTATTTAATTTTTTAAATTTTATTTTTATCTATCAGTATATATGAATAAACTTATTCCAAACGAAATTACAAAGATCTATCTTAAATTGCTGAATTATCTATATCAAAACAATAAATAAATAACGTATTCTCTGATATTTTTATATTTATAGCATTATATTTTCTCAATAGAATTTTACTAGACCTAAGTTATGTTTAATAATCTGAAAAAATACATTTTTTTAAAGAGTAATATTCAGAAATCAGAAATTACAACTTAAGTTATTAAATTTGTAAATACTTTTGAGTAATTTATGAATTAATAAACTTATATTACATTTTAATACAGTTAATTTCTCCAACAATACATTAGAATTAATTTGTTCTATATATTTCTGTATTTTTATAGCCGTATAAGTCAAATTTATTTCTTAATATAAAGTTTACCATAAATTACATAAGTTTCAATGTAAAGTTTCAGATAATTATAAAATGGTTTGGTTAATGGCTTGGTTAATGGGGTAAGGCAACGTAGGGAGAGCTGCCAAGGGAGATAGATGGCTGCAAAATGACTTTCTATGGAAAATTGGTCTCCTGTTTAAGTATTAGACACGTAAAGAAAACCTCTGAAAACTCCACGCGCCTGGCCATTCGGTCGGACGGAAATCCGAGACCAACTAGCAGTGTTTAGTGAGGTGGCCCATTACAAAATAATGGAGGTATGCAAAGGAAGTAACGACCAACAGTACTAAGTAAACAAATGAAAACAGCATTGCCTAAATGAGTTTGAAATTTGGATTATAATTACATTACTTTAAATTAAAATTAGAATTTTCACAAAATATTTCATCGAGAAAATTTCTCAAATTTCAGAGATAATAAAATTCTAACAGTTCAAAACCCCTAACTCTAAATTTAACATGTCTGCAGCATTTTGTGCTTCTCAAACACATGTACACCAACTATAAGAGCAGACGACAATCTATTATAAAAACATTGGTTCAATGACTGCACGCACCTAATTACACTAGGCGTAAATTGTAAAAATGAGTCAAATAAATGTAAACACCCTTCGTATAGCGGAAGTAAGTTAAACGGCGACATAGGTAAGTTAGCTATGTATAACAAGAGTATCAAATGTCCTTCAATAGGATCCAATTGTTGTTATAATAAATTATTCAAAATAAATTTATGTGAAAAAATGTTTTAGATAATACAATTTATTTACATATCATTTTTGCTCAGTTAGATTTTATTGAGTAACTGAAATTGTACAGTACTTGTTATATTAAGAAAATATTTAATTAAAATAAATGATTTTAAGGTAACTATCAATACTATTATAGAAAAAAAATCTGCTGAACTAAACAGAAATAGAGATTCGTTAAATAAATTACTTTGAGTTTGTTTTTATAAAATTTTATTTATACAAATAAAAATAATTTAGCCAAATGTTGTGTAATTTTTGATTTAGCGAATCTTTTGTAAATATTATTTATCTTTTGACAGATATGCATCTAGAATATGGTATTAAAAAGATGTTAAAATATTAAAATTTTTTAATTTTAAATATTTTAGGTCAATTAGCTTTAATTTCAAAAAATCAATTAGTCGAATTCTTTCTCTAATTAGAAACTTGCTTCTCTTTATTAAAAGAAAAATATACTATTTTAAACTTACAAATATCTATTCACTATAAAAGACTAATTTTTATAAAATGAATTTGCTTACTTGGATCTGTCAATTCTCTTATATAAGAAAGATAATCTTCAACCGCAGCATATTTCTTACAACTACGAAAACAATCACAAGGATATCCGTGATAGGTCCATTCAGCATTTCCATATTTATCGAAACTGAAATCAGCTTCTATAGCATTTGCTCCGAGATCCAAAAATTGATCAATTTGCCATAATGCATTGACCATATGGCCAATATTCCAAATAGGAATTACTTCAGCATAGTTTGCAAAAATCTGAAAGAAAAAATCCCATGGTCAAAAAATTTAAATAAATAATATTTAGCTAATTTTAACTTTGAAAATAAATATTGAAATTATAATTTTATTTAATATGCAAAATTACCTGAATGAAAAGCGCAAAAATGCTAAACAACCATCTATAAATCATCTTGTTTGTCTGGGAATGTTTGGGCGCCAAGACACTATTAATATGATCTTCGTCAAGGTCATCGAAATTATCTAATTTTCCGATTAAACATGACAGCTGTTACTCTAAAATATTCCTTTGATAATACAATTCTGCTCAGATAGAGTACTCGATAAACACAAAAAGTTTATGGAAAATTACAACTTGCTTACGTGTAACATGAATTAGTCAATGAAGGAAAGAAAGATGCTTAATTTTAAATAGCTTGCAGATTATTTTCAATCTTTATAATGTCTAAACATTAGTTTCTTGATGAATATTTAAAATGAAAGAAATTCAACATTATAATTTTTTTGTTTGTTTCTTTTATCTAAATTTCATATAAAATAAATTTCGATTTTTTAAACCTTATAGATTTTTCCTAAAAATTCCAACATGAATTCTTTTTGTTTTTAATATTATTTCATTCCTTCTTGTTCTATGAAAAGCAAGTGGAAAGATCAGTTTATTCCATTCTTCCATTTAGTTTGTCGTTCGGCCTTCCTCTTCAAGTTTCGATAGTTTAACTTAACTTTCACATTACCAAGCTACATTTTTCTTTTTCTACGTTTTTCTCACATATTTTCTTTATATTGTTTTTATTAATTAACTATTTCCTCATAAAATAGACGCAATAAAAATTTTGTTTTTTCAATACATTTTAGTAGACATTTTTCCACATTCAATCTTCTTATAACTTCGACATTTGTAATATTTTCAATTCCTATTCTTTCCATTTCTCTTTATAAACACTTTATCATTGTGTAGACATGAGAAGCAAATTGAGCCGATTTCTTGCCGACTTCCTCGTGGATTTAACTTGGGTAGACTTTTCCTACATTTATTTAAAATTATTAAGAAAGATCGTTTTTGTAACTCACATTTTTTGTTTGATATTCTATTCACTAAACTTTTCTTTTGAGCTTTTATTTGCTAACTTCTAAGTTATTTAAAAAGGAATTTTTAAATAATAATAGCACAAAATAATCTTTCCTGGAATAAGAATAGAGCTGATATTTATTAGTCTGTATGTGTGATGGCCGAATGGCCGAGCGGCTAAAGTAGCAGCCTACCGTTTTGGGGAATCGAATCCGAAGGACTGAAAAATTTCTGGAGAAGTTTAGATACGTTGGCTCCATTCCATCATCTGATGGGTTTCCTAAAAATGATCTCTTACTTAGTGCCAATATGGCGGAAAGACTTAAAAGAAGTTTACAGGTGTGGAGGAAAATTGTTTCGCGTTCATTACGAAGTTATAACATAACGTATCGGGTGATCGTAATTAAACATGTGTACAATAATAATTATATAGTTGTTCAAATTCAACCGAAATTGATACGATATTTTAGAGTATTTGTAAAAAAATTATTACAATGACTTGCCACTGTTTTTCTTTTTATTTTTGACTCTCCATCTGTGGGTGCTAAGTGGAGCTATTTAAGCATGTTCATTATGGGTTCGGCATAGACAAATGTGCAATATACAGAGCAATGCTGGCGCTTATGAATACGAAGGAAATGACACCATCATTCGATCATTTTTTACGTATATCTGACATTATGAATTAAATAAATAAAACATTAATTATCTATTGTTGAATGATAATAAAAACAATTATACATATACAGTACCAAAAATAAAAAAATATTTTTATATCACATTGAAAAATATTTATGTACTCTTATATTACTACTCTTATATCACGAAAATAATGTTTAAGACGATTAAATAAATTAAATAAATTAAATAAAAAAAAACAATTAAATAAAATTGTTTTTTTTATTTCCCTGTATAAAATAAATACAAAATATAATATGCATGCCTTCACGCATTAATAAATTTTTGATTTACCTAGAGCCGTGGTAATTTCTTCGTTTTCAACTCTACTCAAAATTCCTCTCTCACATTTCATTAACGCGAATGCTTGAAATCGACATTCAGCAGTGCTAATGACCTTACTCTATCTATATATATAAAAATGAATGTATGTCAGTGTCTGTCCTTCATGCATTACCACACCGTTTATCCGATTGTCATGAAACTTTGGGAAGTTGTTTAATATATTCCCGCGAAGGTTTCTGGCATAGTACATTTATCCTACGATAGATGGCGCGAGTGTATACTAGCATTTCACTGTGTGTTCGATCGATTTCAAATTGTGAAGACCATTTCCCCCTCCCAAAAAATATCTCTATATATGCATTTGTGAACTGTTATTTACGATATTTGTAATAATTTTTGTTTAATCACTTTATTTCAACTTATTTTTGCTAATTATGTATTCGCTCGAACTTTGTTAAAACCTTAACTGTATCCCGAACAACAATCGAAATTGTAGGAGGAAATTCGCCTATTTTACCGATCTAGGGATCCCCCTTTTCCAAATTTTAATATCAACTCAAAATAATTTAAAAAGACAAATTACAATAAAACGGTTTATTATCCAACTATCAGAAATTTCACAACATGCCAAGGAAGAGAGTAAGGAGCTATTAAATAATTAAAATTGTAAATGATTAAAAATATATATATAAAAATGGGGAATATCGCACTTCTGACAATCGCTGCAAGTGTGTGGGCTAAATTTGGCGAATCCGAACTTCTCGCATGGACAACTGTACGTGGCCAGCTCACGCATCGGAAAACTTCTGATTTATTCGTGTACGCACCGGACGAAACAAAAAATATCGTCACAAGCACTCCAATAAATAAATAGAGTTAAAACGACACTTTGAAATGTTTTCCCGATGAAAATGATTAATAATAATGATATAATAATAATAAGTTTTAATTAAAATAAAATGTAAATTGAATTTTATTATAACGAGTTTGCTTGAATTTCGTTTCTTCTGACTTGTGAGATAGCAGCGATGCGCGGCGGGTAAGCTACTTCTATACGTATTTTAATTTCAAAAAGGTTCGCTCGCAAGCTAATTGAGAAATTGGCAAAATTAAAAAAAGTTGATATGCAAGAGTAACTGGTAGGTACAACAAAAACAAATACAAATACAATATTCTTGGTACATATTGTATTTGTATCTGTAGCATGCAGATTACAACTTTTAGGCCTACATTATAAAAACAAATTATAGATAAAAAAAAAAAATAAATCCTCAACAAAAATTTCTATTGAAACAGGTTTCTATTTAAGAAATTGCACACGCAAAGAAAACCCGGAAAACTCCACTCAGCCAGCTCGTTGGTCAGTGCCAAAAGTACCATAGTAGCGATGCTTTTTCGAAACGTTTTTAACCGAAATATATTTTGCATGTTCTGAAATGTCAGCATGCCAAATTTGATTGTATTTGGATTGCTAAATATCTTTCTAGACATCTTTGAATAGGATGTCATAATTACGATCACTCGGTATATACTGTAGAACATATACAGTATCCTATAATTTCCTAACATCGCTTCTCCTAAAATCGACCTTCTTTTTACTTTGAACTCAAACAAGTAAAAGTCCTTACATGTTTAAGCAGTTAAAAATTATTTGAAATTTAGCTACGGCAAAAGAGTGATGCACATTGAAGATCCAGCATCTCGTCTTCCATTTTTATTTCGGGAAATGGAAATGAATATAAATTAAAGCATATTTCGAATAATTTTTGATAATTTAAAAATAATAAAGAAAATATAATTGTTAAATTTAATACTGTATTAGTAAAATTTAAAACGTTTTATCAAATTTTTGAAATTTGTTATAAGTTTATATTTTGTAAGGAACGTAAAATGTCTTGTGAATTTACAAATACAGAAGTAAGAAAAGTTGCTATATCAATAAATTCAGTTTATAAAATATAATACATGTTGTATAGATTATTAATAAAATATATTTTATAAACGTTTTGTTAATAACTATTTTAAAATTTTATAATAAATTTTATTTTATTTGAATTTAAACATTTTAAAACTTAATATAAAATCAGTGTTTTTATTTTTTACATAAAAAACTGAAAATTTATATTTATATTTTATGAGGAAAATTATTGTTTATAAAATTTTGTATTTCAAAAATGTAAAGATAAACAGATAATATTGTTGTATCATCTGTTCATTTTCACATACTGTTTCATTATTTATATATTAATGATAATAAATAAATTTATTTATTTTATTTGGAAATATTTGTGAATATACTAATTTTGCAAAATTATTATATTCATAAATGCCGAATCTATTATCATTAATCTTTAAACACTTTTTAAATCGGAATAACTCGAAAAAAAAAATACAACTGCGATTAAGTTCTAAATGCCATTTTCATCGTGTTCTTTATGTATTTTATGTAGATTTAATTTCCAATTAGAGACCGCTTCTTTTTGAATCTTAGACAGACACCTTAATTTTAACTTCTTCGATCACCCGGTCTTCTGCAATTGCAACTTGGAAACAATATGGGACAATCTGTTTTACTTCCCAGAATTGATATGTTAATGGGAGAGGATATATAACTCCCATTTCAAATAAAATGTCGCCAGTATATACTGATAATAGCCCTTTTCCATGATTATAAGTAGAGTCGGGCAAACTTTTGTTCCAGCAGGAATACTTTAGATAGGCTAATTAGGTATTGACCACATACAATTGCCTATTTCATACATGTGGGCAATTGTATGTAGTCATGTGAAATCGAAGGAATGCATTGCGAATTGTTTTTAAACAACCCAAAGAATGCCAAAAATATAACATTGTAGAGATGATATAACTCACTACAAAAGTAACGTATAAGCACATTCACATATACTGCATATTTAAACATGATTTATAAATTTGTTTACTTCAATTCCATTTTTCTCTGATTATTATTTTAAGAAGCCCTATTTATTTACTTATTGCATAAAAATTACAGGTAAAGGAAAAATACATTTTTCTAAATAGTAACAAACTAAAACAAACATATTACAATTAAAAATAGCAAATATATATAAATATATATAAAAAAGTTTGGTTTGAAAGAGTTTGAAAAAGTTTAAAATAATTCTTTGTTTTATTAATTAATTTAATATAAGGATTCTTAAATTTATTTATAAATATTTAATAATTACAAAAACGGATACAACCCGCA